AATTACAACAGTTAACTTAATTAATTATCTAATTAACTTACCCCTGAACCGAAAGAAAACTGGTTGGAATGCTTGTGAATCAGCCAATTTTTCCTTTACTGTTTTGTTTAATTATTTTATTTCTATTTAATTGTTTATGATCGAGATCCTAGATCTGGTTTTTCACCCAACCCGTATGATGAACCCAGCCTAGTGCCTATAAATTTTCTAGCCCAACCCATGCTCGGGCCTAACCCAAACCATCTGATTGGATCCAATTCAGATAAACGGATCCAAGACAGACCCGTAGGTCTTGTCCCTTCCACCTGTTTGCACAAATAAACAGATTCAATGTACCTGGTCGCAGAATGGCTTGGTGTGCCTCGTCAATGGCAATGGTCAAGTGTTTGGACACAGCTCGACACATCTTTTCTTGGTTCGACTGTGAAAACCTGCTTGCAATCCAGAATCTAGTCAACTCGAATGCTCAAACTCCCATTTCAAAAATTTCGGTCTACTGCGAGTCTAAGGATCGAAATTGATTCCAGATCCTTGTTCTACGGGGATCGTCCTTCGTCAATATACTATTAATCACAGAAAATTTTATTAAATCTGCCATAAATTTGATTGTTTTGTAAATCCAGATTCGAAAGATGGATTTGCGAATGATTTGATTGGATCTTCTATAAAATTTACGATTTGGTCCCTTGTCTTCTGATTTTATGTGATTAAATCCCTCATTTTTTGATCTTATTTGATTTAGCCCCTTTTAAAATGTTAAGATTTATAATAATACCCCAAAAATTTGGGGTATTACATAGGCTTATGTAAGGGGGTTCATGAGGGGGGTGCTCGCGTAAAGGAAGGGGCTTGTGCAGGGGGTTGGTTGGTAGTTGGGGCTTGTGCAGGTGTGGGGAGTGCTTGGGGCTCGCAGGGGTAATGGGGTGGAGTTGTAGGGTTGAGGGTATTTTGAAAAATGAAAATACCTTTTGGTAAATAATTGTTGATATAACCTTCTAGTTTTAGATCATTAATTGCAAAAACGCTCTCCAGGTTATAAATTTTGTTGAACTGACCAGCTCAATAATTTTTCAATAGAAGTATATGTTAATATAATAGTAAGGATGTAACAAGTCAAAGAAAATTAAAGTTAAAACCCAAATTATGGGAATATTTTTAATCTCCCAAGGGGTTAGGTTAGGACTCGAGAGTATTTTTTCCCATACCATTTAGCCAATGCCCAATAGTCTAACCATGCATCAACCATCAAGTAGTTAAATAACTTCATTTAGATGGAATTAGTTGTGATTATCACAATTAATCTTGTTTAAAATATAATTAATCTCTACTTTTCCCATTCTCAGAGTAATGCAAACAGAAAGCTCAGTTTATAATGGTGCTTACCCGCCACCATTTAACGCCCCGCCTAAATAAAAAGGCCAATTCTTTTTTGATTTAATAATATATTACAAGAACTTGATTCAAAATCAAAAGGTCACTTTTGCGCCGTTGTAGGGGCAAACAAGGTGAAAGAGATAGTTCCTTACTTTATTTTCCTTGGAAAAGGAACAGATTCAAAGTCTTGGACGAGTAGGTGATTGTTGACTGCGGCATCCCTTAAATAAAGAAATATAATTATTTGAAGACACGTCCAATCCAACTGCCTCGTTTAAGTGGCGGTTTCACCTAACATCAACTTTATATATGTTTTATGAATAAATAAATAGAAATAAAATTTAAAAATTGGTCAAAATTTTTTGACAAATTTATCCAATTTTAATAATTTTTTTATTTATAAAAATTGATTTTCTATAAATTATTTATAGAAATCGGTTAAAGTGGAAATAGTCAAGAAATTAGTTTTAGAGAAACCGAATTTGAAAAAAAAAATGATTGATAAATTACCAATTTTTTTAAAAAAACTCAGTTCACAAAGAACTAATTTGTTATGATAAATGGTTATAGGAGAACTGAAAACTAATTTCTCCAAACATTCGTCCCTCCCCCCCACCCCAAAACGACGAAGAAGAGAAATCATCTGTACGGGAGCTATGACAGAGCTCCCGTCAAGGGTGGGAGCTCGACAACAACAAAGCTCCCATCTCTGCAATATCGTCGAGGAGCTCTGCAACAATAGCGCTTCCATCCAAAAATGGGAGCTCTGGACAACTCTCATTGAGGAGCTCTGCAACAACAGAGCTCCCGTCGCGGACGGAAGCTTTGCAACAATAGTGCTTCCATCCCTGGACAGAGGCTCTGCAATGAAACTGCTTAGGCCCTTGGTTGGGGGTGGCTTGATCTAATATGCTTAACGAATTAAACTGAAACATTTACATTGTATAAATTGAATCAAATTATATTAAACTGAATTAAATTATATAATTTAATTTAATTTGATATTAACGTTTAAACAAGTTATATAAATTAAACTTATCTGTATAATTTATATATATATAAAATTAAAAATTTTATCTTTTTATATATAATATATTTTATTATTTAATTATATTTTTTTTTATATTTTATATTTATATTTATTCTAATAATTAATTAATTTTTTAGTATAATTTTGATTAGTAATAATAAAATTTTATAAAACGATATAAATATATTTATTATATAATATATAACTAATATATTTAATTAATAAATAATAAATTTATTAAATTAAATATATTTAAAAAATAGATAATTAATTTTTTAAAAAATTCTATCAAAATTTTTATAAATAATAAATTTAATCAATTTTATTTTATAAATTATAAATTATAATTTAAATTAAATTGTGGTGTAAATTATAATTCAATTTAATTTATAAAAAATTAAAAATTATAAAATATAATTTAATTTAAATTTAAACCCTACACCCAACAAAAACACCCGAGTTAATCACCTAAGATCTGGACATCACCTAAGATCTGGACTGCTATTTGTCGCAGGTAGGGGGCTTCCACTCTTCTTCCCGAACAGCCATAGCCGACCCTTGACCCTCGGAGCTCATGCTCTGTTTTGCTATCCAACAACAGAGCTTCCATCTGGAGACGGGAGCTCTTGTCTGTACAAGTTGTATAGCTCCGGACCTCTACAACACCAAACAGGGCTCCCTTCCAGAGATTGAAGCTCTCGTCTTTGCTAAGCTCAGTTTTGCAAAGCTCTGGACGAGAGCTCTGCAACACCAAACAAAGCTCTGGAGGGGACCTCTGGGCTAGCGCTAATTTCTTTTGGAGAGACGATTGTTAAAATTTAAGAATTATAAAGGGAAAACGGTTCTCATTGTACCCATTTTTTTACAAGGAATCAGCCTTTTCCGGACCTATTTCTATGCACTAAAAACCGATTTTTTAACGTACACAAAAACTCACCTATTTCTGTAGATAATCTTCCGAACAACTATTTTTATAAAAAATTATATTAATATTAATATAAATTTACCCAACTTTCTCTGTTTTATTATTCTTTAATGTTCTGTTTATCCATACTAGTAATGGGAAGCATGTTAAATCCAGACTGCCCTTTTTAAAGTTCACTTTTCTCGATTTGATAAGAGAGAAGAAATTATATTTTGGGTTTTATTCTTATTTATTATTCCGAATTATCCCTTCTCAATAATTTAAACTGACTATGTAATATAGGTGAAATTTATAATTTTTGGTTGTTATAGATATACTTATCCATTTTACATAAAATTAATCACAATTAGAATACTGTGTGACTGTTTCCTTTCAAAAATCCAGTCTCATATATTTAAATCTGATTCTTCTTCGTGAGCATACAAGTGTTTTAACACTTGTGTTACAACCATTACATAATATACAGGTAAACTCTATATGAGTCGGACAACCAGCCAACCTAAACTGAAGTATCAGGAGGTAAAAGAAGCACGGAAAGAGTTCAAGTTCAAAGATACTGACATGTTTATTTGACATGAAATGTCGTCCAAACAGGGCAATCCTCAGAAAGTCTCCAAATTCTTGAATTTTTGGGTTTAGCTCAAAAACATGGGAAATAGAAAAACACGCGCACGCCGCACCAGTCAACCACAACCTTACCACGGCAATACATTCCGGCCCATTTATTCTAAGCAGAAAAACAAAATCAAAGTTTTTCCTCCTTAAAACAACTCTCCCACACACGCACGCGCGCGCACAAATTAGTAAAGAAGAGCCTTCTCCAGCAATAGAATACAGCAGCCACGAACAAGGTGGTGAGGCTGAAGCTGCCCCAACACCAAGACAACCAGACTTGTTGCCTATTCTGTTGCTCTTGTAAATAAACAAGCCAACCAGCCAAATGATCTCCTTGTTGGGCAATTTGACCAAGTGCCATATTTCCTGTTTGGACTAGCGCCATCAAAGAACAAACCCATAGGCTAATCGACAGATGCGTGAAAAACATATCAATTGCTGACATTTTCATCTGCGTTTAAATCTTGAAGAAGAGTTCCTCGGTTGAACCAGAACACAGTGAAAATCGATATAAAGTAACAAAACCAGAAGGGGAAGTGAATTTGAGAGTTGTTTGGCACCCAGATCTTATTGGAGCTTTTATGACACAAGTACTGAAAAAATTAGGAGGTCTTCAGGACTTCCCCGAAAGCCCCAAATAAGGCATTTTGGCTACAAAAGCCCTTTAACTCTTTCAGTGACAAGTCCCACAAACCAAACATCCACCTCCTTACTTTCAAGGAAACCAACATGCTTGTGGGGTCTTTTTCCCCTTTCTACAGAAAATGTCCATCACACCAAACCAAACAGCCCCCATGGTAAATTCTCAAGTAGAGAAACCAACCTGGTCACCCAGATGAAGAATTCAAAACATTCCAGTGATGGCCTCAGATCATCATATAATTAAAACAGCAATTTCTTAAACCTTCTACTTGTTTAACATCAAGACTGATTCATACTCAAGTCCAGGGAAGAAAGATAAGAAAAGGAAAGGACAAAAAAAAAAAAACCCTTGTATAAGGAAAAGGCCTTGGACATTCACAACTTAAATGACATCATATACAGGACGCTCCAATGCTACTTAGATGGCTTGTATTCCCGCCTGCTCTCAATCACGGTTTTCTTCCTTGTATCAAAATCCAACTTGTCCAGATCAGAAACAATTCCTAGATAGGCGTAGAAAATTCTGGTCTTCTCTCCCGTCTTCTCATCAATCTTCACAAGATTAGGGTTGCTGTCACTGTCCTTGCCCAATGTCAAGGACTGTACACGTGTCCAACCCCTTCTACCATGGTTTTCTTTCTCAAAATAATCCGACATCCTCACAGCATCTTTTAAGCCAGATTGGTCACCAGGAAACTTTACCAGTGTAATGCCAAGATGACCATCTCTACCATAAACGGCCTTTGCCTTGCCACTCCCAAATCCAAGATCTGAATGCAACATATAAAAAAAAGCAAAGGATGTATTAAGAAATGGATTTGAATTATGCTGAACAAGCTTGGAAAACATTTCTGTGATGGACCGTCTTCAGCTTATCAGGTAGCACTCATGATAATGAGTGAGGAAAGATCAAATAGAACAGCACCCACAATCAACAGTCCACAACTATTAATCCTGTTAAAAGCAAATACCTAGTATATGATGCTATCTTGCTAGGTCTTATGGACTAAAGGTTCTGTTTGGTCCATGGAATGATGAAGAGAGAGATAGGGGAAGTCTTCAGATATCAGAAACATTCATCCAAAAGTTAAATACGTACATATGTGGACACAACTTAAACATCTAGAGCTATTGCATCTTTAACAGATGTGTCTAATTGCCAGACATTCTAAATCCAAGGGAAAAAGCTAGTTTCGAGCTTATCTCAGGAAACTATCCTTTTAATGTCATAAATAAATATGCTTTGGGAGTATCTCTATTAAAAGTGCTTAGGAGAGTTGAAAACAAATTGGCTAGCAAAACTTTTTAATAAAATTATGGTAACTAAGAAAATGCCAGATGAACGTAGAAAAAGTACTTTAGAAGATAAAATATATGTAAAATTCACTCAGATTTTTGGGGATTCAACCTTATAAGTCATATACTATGAAGTTATGGTTATAGAGTAACTTAACATAGGTTGAGACTTGCAAATAACAGCTTCACATGATCAGTTAGGGGGTAAATAAAATTGATCATCACGTTGTTTTTATATATTCGCAAAGGAATATGATAAAGCCCCTATATATTTAAGGACTTGTTTAGCTTCTCTTTGAGAGAGGCTTTCGCTTTTGAATCTTGTTTTCTTCTTTTTTTTGGTTGGATGTTAAAAAAAAGGCCCTGTTTTTCATGGATTTTGGTTTGTAAGAGCCCTAAAACTTTTCAAAGAAAAAATTTGACAAACCAAACATCCACTTCTAAAAGCAACACTTCTTTCACGGAAACATCCTACCTCAAGGGCTTTTTTCTCCAAAAAGAAAATTAAAAAAAAAAATCCCTGAGACAAGGCAACCCCTTAAATTTGATAAGCTTTAGGGGGCATGTGTTACAACTCTGTCTGAGAACATCAAAGGCATGAACAATTGCTTTTGCAAGAACTGTGAGGAAAACTAGTAACATTTCAATTTTTTAAGGTTGATATAAAGGTAAACACTAAACACTCATATGTTTTGTTAGCTAAGAATGACTTGACCAAAAATGTTAAAATATCAAATCTCATGAGCTGTGATGCATGTTATTTGCTGACAATATTATTTTAATAAATGAAACATAAATGGAGTAACTACTACTTTAAACTTATACCTTCAAACAGAAACTTCTTTTAAGCCAAGTATAAATAAAGCTGAGTACATGAAATACAACTTTAGCAAAATCATAATGAATGACAAAGAAAATTGACAACAAACCAGTACTCAAATAGATAAATCAAAGTTGGCATGCATTGAGTTTCATGCTGACATGGTCACACACATAAACATATAAAAAAGTCATTGCTAAGCACCACCATAAGAAACCCCCCCCCCCCCCCCCCAAAAAAAAATAATAATAATAATAAATAAATAAATAAACCCAAAACAAAAATCCAAATTTTTTATGAAAAAGCATTTTGATATAGAAGCAAAATTCCAAAAAAATAAAAAAAACAAAGCTAAGCCGGGCAACTAAACTGGAGATGCAAGTCCAAAGATAGTGGGACAATTGCAATTCTGTTAAGGGCTTATTTTAAGCTAAGAAGAAGGGACACAGACACTGTTCAACACAACATGGACACAGATACATTGACACATCAACTTTGAAAAAATTAAAAGTCATAAACAGCAAGGACAAGGCTAAAGACTTAAATTTTTTAACATTTATATTCATTATATTTTTAAGTAAATCTAAAATGACAAAAAAAATAACAACACCGAATAATTAAATTAATTAATCATACTTAAATACCACTAGATATGAATGAAAAAACACCTTTAGGGCTTGTTTGATTGGGATTCAACAGCATTTAGTTTTAATTAATCCCAGTTAAACTCTATATGAACAAACCAAACCCACTATCTAGAACCTACTTTATTTAAACTCATTTAAACCTGCAATCAATCAACCATACTTACTTTATCTCAGTAAATCCACTTTCTCCAAACCTTCCTTATTTAAACGCAATTTCTTAAACTCGCTTTATATAAATCCTTTTACAATGATTATTTCATTCATTCAAAGGTTAATGTTGGGGGAATCTTATTTGATATAGGAACACATCTGTCTAGAATGGAAAAAATGAAATAAAAATTAGAGATAACACGTCTTGGGGTGAGTGTGAAGTATCCTTGTCCAATGTTTGGCTTAAGAGATAGATACATGACAAAAACAAATGAAGTGTTCATGCTTCCTAGATTGTGAGAGTAAAATGCCATCTGAGAATTTTTGATGCAACCAGATCCATATAACAAAGCTCAATCAACTAAAGACAGTCAATAACTACAAAGTTCTCTCCATGACACTTATCCTCTAGCCAGAATCCAAAGCCTTAGACCAAAACTGTAGTAAAATAGGCAATCAAATAACTAACAAATGTAAGGCTCTCGGAAGTTACCCTCAGGTAGAACGAAAGTGGAAGATTACTCCAAATAATTTATGACATATATATTTTTTTAAGTAGTGGAGGCAAGAAAGGATGAATGCAAGTGGTACAAGTACCATGGTGATGGGACAATAACTCTACTAGAATTTTAAAGAAAATGCTGGGCTTTAAACTTTATAATCAAAAAGAAAATTTCAGGGAACCAATCCATATAACAATAGTTTCTGAAATCAAAACCAAAACCAATGACAGATGAACCACCATTCTGTTAATTAATTAGATCAAGGCCAGTAGTTACTAATCATAGAGAACCTTAACTAGCAAAACTAGATTCCTATCCATGCATGGTTGGGAGCAGATGTCCCTTACCCCTACTTGCAAAAAAATTGTTTCCATGATTTAAACCATAATAGAAGGTTGCACTGAGGCTATATTTGCCACAGCACTCACTAAGTCCTAGTCAACTGAAATAGATGGAAGAAAAGCAAACATGCCTTGCAAGATTCTTAATTAATTGAAAACTACAGCAAACATGAAATCTTTAATTTCTTCACCTTGAACCTGATCTACTAAACTTATATTAGATCATCTAATGCTAGAAGACTTTCAAGGTAAATTCCTACCAAAACATGTCTCAAAGTAAACACAAGCACTCCAAATAAAGTAACTATACCAAAAATTGATGATGTAAGTGGCACTACAATCATCAACAACAATCATAAAATAAATTGCAATGCATACAAGGGCAAGTAGCACAAGACAAAAACTAGAAAGCCAAATAGTAATTATTATTAATAGCCTAGTCCAAGGTGGGTATCAATAACCCAAATTGCAAGTCAAAAATCACATTAAGTGCACACACCACCCCCCACCCCCCCCCCCCCCAAAAAAAAAAAATGGACAGCCCAAAATACCCACCTATTCAAAATAAGCCTATGGAGAAACCCTAAGGCCCTACCACTTAATTCGGAGTAAAAATACTTCAGCACTGAAATTCTCCACCCAAAAATACACTACTCCAAACTCTATGACTGTTGAAGTTCACAAAAAAATAATACACAAAAATATTATTAAGAGATTCCTAATAATCGTAGTAACTCAAAAATTTCAGAAAATGAACCAAACTCCTATGAATTTTTCCTTCAAAAAGGAGCATCTACAAGGGCAAAAATCCCACCAGAGTCTAAGGCAAAAATATTAGGATTATTGGCAACAGTTTCACCAGAGTAAATCAAACGTGCTACCACATTGTAAAGGAAAGAAATGTCTCAGAAAAGCAACTTGTGAACTCAGAATTTAGATGCTCAAACCCCCCGCTCCCCAAAATAAAAAAAAGGGTGGCTACGCTTTAGCAAATCTTGTTCCCAACCTCTGCCAACTTTCATCAATTTATCAACAGAAAAATGCTAAATTATCTTATAATTGCATATGGTAATGATTGAGAAATCCATCTCCCACATCAAACAACAAGGTTGCAGCTAAGACAAGTACAGCACATAAACTCCAGATTGTGAACTGTTTGCCAGTGTGCAGGCTTGTTCTGTGTGTGCATGTGTGGGAAGGAGGGAGAAAAAAGGAGAACTTTCAAACTACCATTTTAAGACTTGTCATCAATGATTATCAAATCAATGGATGATACTTTACAAAAAATGGTGCAGTCAATCTACCATACAACTGTCACCACTGGATGACAGTTAAAGCACTTAAAACCTTGATTCCACATATACTGTTAGTTTTTACAATGACCAACTGCTGGTTCTCAAATTTCATATCGAATGGCCTATAGTTCCATATTTATATTCGTAGCCACTATAGTTAATATGCTCAATACATTATGTCCCAGCTATGGAGACAAGTCTTTCTCTCTCCCTCTCTCTCTCTCTCTCTCTCTCTCTCTCTCATGTGCACACGCGCGCGCGCGCATATAAAGAGATAGAATCTTATAATAGAAAAATCAGTCGTTTAGCATAACTAGGAAAAAAATGGTTGGAAAAATTGAACCAATGCTTATGTCTATTTGTTGACTATGGATGCAAAGTGAAATGTCAAATTACAAACACATATGAATAAGAGAATTAATTTTTTTTACATAAAGTGCAATTTATGGAAAATTCCAAAAAACAAAAGAGGAGATTTGAATATTAGGTGCGACATATGAATAAGAAAATTAAATTTTTACATAAATTGCAATTTATGGAAAATTCAAAAAGAAAAAAAAAAAGAGTTGAAGAAGAAGGGGGGATTTGAATATTAGGTGAGTCATTTTTAAATTACCAGCTTACACTACCCTTGTATCACATGCCTTCATCTTCCCCCGATTCTTTCTTTGCATCCAAGGTATCTACTTTTACCTCATGCAAAGACTACAGAATATTTTTCTCTTGCTATTTGGTTCATCGGAACCCTACTTAATCCACTGTCTATTTCTTTATTGCTTTAGTATGGGTTCTCATCTCTTTTTGTAAGTAGATATACACACACACTCCATCTCTATATACATAATGAGTATAGGATATGTTTTTGAAATTTGTAGAACTTGGAGTTGTTCAATTAAAAATTTCATATCATTGGTCTTTGTGTCCAATTCTTAGTCTCTGGTAGGCCCTTGTGTCCCCAAAGCAATATTTGGTTATGGTAGTCATTCACGTTGTGGAAAAGCTTAAGCCTCTTTTCAAAATTCATATACCTAATTATAGGATCTCTAGTCCTCAGGAGATTAATGAAGTTTATGTCTTCAAAGAGATGTGTTGTGGTTTTTGATGTTTCCTAGAAAGTCAGATTCTACATTTTTTGCCTTTCAAGAATTTGAGATTGTTAGAACTATAATGTTTTACTTATAGACCTAAACACAGTTGTGCTACCATGCTTGCAAGTGTGGAAAATTGTATAACATAGTACAGAAGTTAATGAGCTACATAATGTCAGTTTTCTGTAACTTTCATTTTAAGAATTCTGTGCTATAGTTTCCTAATTGCACGGGTATTTGCCTAGTTCGTAGAATCTTCACTCTATGAACATCTATGTACTTATCAATGTGATTGCATTTATGTGTGATCCTGGACATGGAATTGTTACAATAACTGAGTTGGTTTTTTCCTGAGGTTGAATTAAGTTTACATTTCCCAAGGTGGAAAAAAGTTGTATAATATAGGAGTTTTATTTTTGTGATGCTAGGGAATAAATTGTTTCTCTAATATTTTGTACAAGTTGGTCAACACAAGGAACCAGTTTCCTGTTGTGCCAATGTTGATCAAAATCTATGGAAGAACTAGTTTTCTACAGTTGTTTTTGCTAACTATGATGTGGTTATCTATAATATATCTAATTTACAATTTTTTTCCCACAATTTTTTTAAAATTTTATTTGTGGACATGTGTGCTAAAGGCTTTGGAAGAATCAAAGAATTTCAACCATACTCCCTCCACTTTTCCCTCTCTCTTTTGTGGAACTAACAAAAGGTTGCTTTAAGTGCATGCTTTCACAATTATTTGTCTCGTTTGGTGTTTTAGCATCTTGTTATATGTAATCTGCTGGTTGGTCACTGGATTTCTCATTTAATGAGCAGTTTCTATTCTGCGAATCTGAATAAGAGGCCTCTAAACTGTAATTCTTAGGAGGAACTTGAATAACATATAGATGTATCAGGCATCATTTTCTTGACTTGAGTCTTGTTGAAAATGACCAAGTTGTCTCATCATGTGAAAATGTTTGTTCGTGTGAAATGTTGATCTATCTTTCTTCCTCCCTCATTCTCACATCAGAAGACAAGTACAACACATCAAAGCATACCAACTTATTATATATTTACAAAAATCTCACCCCTAAGCAATTAGCACAATAGACACGCATTATAAAAGGATGCAACAAAGAAGACGCACCTTTGCTTCTTCAGACCCTCAAAAAAGATCCTTTCATAGGCAAACCATGGATATTGACCCCTCATAACTTCTAGTAGACTCAATACACCATGAGATGGGGCAGGACACGTAATAATTTATTGGAACTTAGGATCTCCAAGCCATCAGATTATATTAATGGGCAAGGAGAGAAGCAATGAAGAAATCGCTGATCCTAACATAAGCTGACAAAAATAAATTCAATGGTAGTATAGCAGAAATGGATAAAACACCATAAAAAGGGGCACGAACACAGGCCCCTCATAACTTCTAGTAGACTCAATACACTATGAGAAGAAGCATAACATGTAAAAAGTTAATGGAACTTATGATCTCCAAGACCAATTCAAATTATATTAATGGGCAAGGAGAGAAGCAACTGAGAAATCACTGATCCTAACAGACTAAGCTGAAAAAAAGTGTGTTCAATGAGTAGTATATCAGAAATAAATAAAACACATAACAGAAAGACTCAAGGAACTAGCGGAGTAAAGAGGCAAGAAATAACAACATATGATGACACTACCCCAACAAGATGGAACGTATATTGTGGCAGAACCACATGAAGGGTGGTGATCAACAGACCTGGAAGAGAAGGAAAGAAAAAAGAAAAGAACAGTCCTCTACAATAATAGGGATGATCTACAGTCAGTAGAGGACACTGCTATTCCAATGCCAAATTAAGGCCTTGCATTAAGATCATCCAAATCCAATAAAAACAAATATTAAAAGTTTTGACCTATTGGTATTGCCAAATGACGGTACTCCACTAAAACCTAGCACCACAGTTCCTTGAAGTATATCTTAACTACTGTTGATTGGTGCAGAGAAACTAATATTAGAACAATCCATGGAATTACCATGACTAGCATAACAACACCTTTAAGAAGTCTTATAAATAGATGGCACTCAACACAAGAAGGACTAAGGACAAAGGGGCTGTGCTATACCTCTAAGCTTAATATCCATTACTTTGTTCCCCAAACCTTCCATGCGTCCATCTCTACCTTTTCCTGTGTTCGTGTTATGAATAATCACCATGGGAGGCCATATAATCAAATCATCCCGGTTTGCTGCTGCTTCATCAGCAGATAATAGCTGATATGCCTTCAAATTATCAGGAGCCTTTGAATAGCTCCAGCCCATAAGAACACACAAAGCTTTGTGCAAGCCCAAATGATCCACAAGCAAGTTAGGTTTATCTGAGTCGTAGGTGTGCATGATAAGACTATGCATATCTGGAAAATCTTTAGAAGACCTGCAATTTCACATATCAAAGACTTTGAGTAACTTCTCTATATTCCTGAAGACAATTTTAGGTTACAAAAACAAAGTGCCAAGGCAATAAAAACGATGTGTCATCAGTTTAGTGGAACAGCAAAAAAGGGGACAAAGTGTACATAAGCACAATTATCATTTGCTTGCATAACCACTGCCAAGACCCAAAGCAGCAAAGCGTATCAACTTAGATGAACCAAGTTACAATGCAAGAAAGCATTGAAGCATTATATTTAGTGACCGTATAGAGGAAGATGATCACTTCCCCAATTGAGACCTAGTTTATTTCTCCATAAACAAATAAATACCCCTCTCCTTGGTCATACTTCAAACATTCAAGGATAGCAAATTCTATGTGTTCCATACTTATGGATGATATTCAAACGAGCAAGAGGACCATATGTTCATCCTCTCTTGCAATAAGTTCTCCGATAGTAATTGTCATTTAAATTGTGGAAAACTGCAGCATTTCTTTCCTTATCAAAATAATCCAGCCCCAGTCCAAGGGGCTTCGGCTCCATACTCAAACCCAACAACATGTCATAGAGCATCATATATTTCTTCCCTCTAGAGACGAACTACTCAAGTCATCATAGCCCCCCTCTGGCTAAATAATAACTCTCTTAACATAGTAGAATATATGATTTTCATGTAATTAACAAATTCACTCCGAAAATTTGAACTCTAACAAGCCATTTTATCATAAAACCAAACAGCAGCTCCAGTGCTACCCCTTCAGAAAAGGTTGACAGGAAAACAGCATATGGTTAACTTAGGAATAGAGAAAGAAATAAGCAAGAACACAAGCCAAAGAATTTGGCTCCACTCAGCTACAGCAGAAAACTCATTGCAAAATGGCAACACCACTGCTATCTTGACCACTAGAAATAATTAAACAGCTTGGAACAAAGATGCTACAGAAAGAAAACTATTGCCTGAAATTGAAAATTGCAAGAAGCTCAATATTGAGGCATCAAAGAATCACGTGCTAAATAATCATAACATCCAACAAGAGGCCTCTGGATTGTACATAACATCCAACAAGAGGCCTCTGGATTGTCATGTACCTAAGAGTTCTAGCATCCCTCTGCTTGCTGAAAGTAAAACAAGCTAGGTAAAAAAATGGCAGCAGGAAGAAAAAAATGCAAGGAGAAGAATATCCAGAAGCAACAAGATATTAGAGTTTTACCAAATATCAAAATCAGCAGTAAAATTGACATATAGTTGCCTCTTTTTCTACCTTTTGTTGCTTTTCTTTTATTGCACGAACCTTCAAGTCTCTTGGAGAAGCATCAAATTGATTCAAATGACATATAAAGGGATACAACCAGAGATCAAGTATCAACTAAAAGGGGGGTAGGAAGCCAAAATAGGAAAAAAATAAATAAATTCTTCTCCCTACAAGCACCTAAACTTGTTCAACTTGCCCTCAGAAAATAATATGGCTTCAATCTATTGTCATTATTGACCATATACACTTAACTTTGTCCACACTAATAGTCACAAACACAGCAAGCAACAAGAAAAATGGATGAGCAAATAACTTCAAGCAAACGTACAAAACAAATATGTCAATGCACACATATTCTGCACAACCAAGAAATCACTTGCATAATTGCAGAAACTTGTATCAAAATCAGGTCATACGTATGCTGAAAGGGATGGATTTCCAAAACAACCTGTTGTAAACATCTCTATTGCTAGTCTCAAATTAAGCAAGAAAAAATAGAACTTGCACAATCACTATTCACAGGAAATATAAAATCAACCTTACATTCTAAGCTAAATTCAGATTCGATTCCACGAATCACCAATGTTAAGCATAGATAACCACCAAAGGCCTTACCGCACAAGTCAATCAGGGAACTAAATTTCCCAACAAGAGCTCCTCTACTAATTTTAAATGCCTATAAATTCATCACCAACAAAAAAATTAAACCATTACCCCAGACCATAGACTACGTGGCATTATGTCAATTGCCCAACAGGAATTCAAAGAAAATCATCAAAACTCAAATGCTAAATCATACAAGAATATGAGGGTGGAACCAAATTTTTGAGAGAGAACAGATTAGGGTTGTTCATCAGTACTATCATGTGGTTTTGAATGAGCATAGATTTGGTCAGAACCAACACAGTTGAGAAAAGCATGGCAATCCGCAAAGGGGAACCTACCACATGGAATATTAGGAACCAAAGATTTAAGCATACAAGGCAGTAAGGGAAAAGTAGGTCTTCCTCAAATTATTTTTCTACGGTGCGAGGGAACAGCTGAATCTAAGCATCCTTGTCCATCACAATAGACCGGCAAATCACACTCTAATTATAATCTGATGAACCAGGATTAGCTATGCCAAGAACTCACAGATTCTTTAGGATGCAGCAAGAAAGCAGACACATTTCTAATTTTTATGCTTCTTAAAGAATCAAACCAGAAACTGTAGACACTTAACTACAAATAGATGTCCAATAACATGACTTCCTCATAGGTAAAATGCCCAGCAGGTGGAGCAGGATGGAAATGGGCATTGGATCCTGAAACTACTAAAAATAGCATCAAATCTAATGCATTAAAAAATAAATAAATAAATAACCAAAACAATGGAAACTTGTGAGCTCAACGAAAACTTAAACCTAAAAAGGACTTGCACAAATTGAACTAAATACCTCTAATTTGCATCTTCTTGAGCAAAATCCTTGATTACCAGACATCATATGATCTGCAGAATAGCTAAGTTGGTAGGCCAAAGAATCGCTGATCTGTTGTTCTCTTATCACAGTAATGCTAATAGGTAAACAGTCCTGCTGCTTATTCTCATTAAACTCCATGTTTTAGAAATATCCAAAACATCTTATCTATATGGCAAAAATTGGGTATGCATAATTCTCCTTTATTTTTTTTCTAGAAACGACAAGCAATTGCAATTAACGTAAGCTGATGGTATAGATAAACCCTAAAAACCCCAAGGTTTCTCAATTATATTTCTAAAATTTGCCTTCCATGGTCAACAATTAGACTTGGTTGAATTTTTCTTACTAATTTTCCTTTTTCTGAATTATATTAATCATTGGTTATTCCAATGTGAGATTTTATTGAGATAAATAAATTTTGGCTCCATGACTAGGAGATATCAAATTGAGTACCTTAAGGGGCTGTTTGGTTGCATTAGTAGGATGGGGGGGATAGGATAATTTTACATTGCCCGTATAGTAGTTTTACCCATTCGAGAAAGAGTACAGGCAATAATGTTTTAAAAAAATTTTATCACCTTTTGTCACCCCGGATAAATTTTATTACACCCATCAAGGCCTAATAATTTTATCCTAGTTTGGCTGAGAAAGCCAAATAAGGGCAGCTGCCTGAATTTTTTATAGTGATTGTTTACAAGGCTACTGAACATGTGTAAAAGAGTGATAAGGCAAGATAACTTTATCTTATCCTACCTTATCAGGCCACGCAAACGAGACCTAATTGTATAATTCATGAGACTACAAACAAAAATGGAACTACGTCAATCTAAAGTAGTCCATGATATTCTTACAAACAACATTACAAGATATTCAACGTCAAAATTTGGGAAACAATAATCAGGCATTGTTTATAAAAATAAAAATAAAAATAAAAAGTTGGTGTAGTATCATGGTTTTGAGTGGTGTCATCTAGTGGTGATGGTTATATCATCTATGGAAGTTTTGCTACTACAGTTGTCATGTTGTAGAGTATTATAGAGTGGTACTATAATCATTGAGATGCTAATATGATAAATACAGCTTTTGCCTTTTTTTTTTTTTTTTTGGTGGGTAGAGAGGGAGAAGGGGGAGAGGGAGAACCATGAATCAACACTCTACACTGACAAACATTTTCACATGATCAGACAACAAGGTCATTTTCAGCAAGACTTAAGTCAAAAAGATGCCTGATACATCTATGTATTATTTAAGTTCCTCCCATGAATTACAGTTTAGAGACCTCTTATCAGAGTCTCAGAAAGAATAGAAACTACCCATTAAATGAAAAATCCAGTAACCAATGAGCATTTCACATATAACAAGACCCTAAAACACCAAACAAGACAAATAAATGTGAAAGGATGCATTCAAAGCAACCCTTCAGCAATTTCCACAAAAAAGAGAGGGAAAGGTGGAGTATCGCCCAAATCATAACATTCTCAGATTCTTCTAAAGCCTTTAGCACACATGTCCACAAAATAAAATTATAAAACAAAAATTGTGGAAAAAGAAATTGTAAATTGGATATATCTTAGATAACACACAGTTAGCAAAAACAACAATAGAAAATAAGTTCTTTAATAAATTTTGATCAATGTCATCCACATAACAAGATACTAGTTCCTTATATTGACTACCTGGTACAAAATACTAGAGAAACAAGTTATTTGCCAGCATCACAAAAATCAAACTCCTATATTCTACAACTTATTTCCACCTTGGGAAACACCAAACCTAATTCAACCTTAGGAAAAGCTCCTGTAACAATTCCATGTTCAGTATCACACGTAAAGGCAATCTCAGTGACAAGATATATGGATGATCATACAGCGAAGATTCTACAAACTAGCCATTTACACATGCAATGGGAAATCTATAATAAATAATTTATCAATTAAAATGAAAGCTACAGAAAACTGACAATATGTAGCTTGTTAACTTTTGTAATATGTCATACAATTTTACACACATGCAAACATGCCAGCACAATTGTTTTTACAAGTATAAGTAAAACATCAAAGTTCTAACAATCTTAAATTTATTAAAGACAAAGAATGTAGAATCTGACTTACTAGGAAACGTCAAAAATCAAAGCATGTCTCTCCGAACACATGTAAACTTCATTGATCTCCCATGAGGACTAGAGATCTTATAATCAGCTACATGAATTTTGATAAGTGGCTTAAGCCTTTCCGCAATACAAATCACTACCATAAACAAGTATTGCTTTAGGGGCATAATGGCCTACCAAAGACTTAAAAAAAAAAAGGACACAAAGAGCTATGATAAAACGTGTTTAATTTAACAACTCCAAATTCTACAAATTTTGAAAACATATCCTATACTCATTATAACAGTTGTCAGGAGCGCATAGCGCAGCGAAGCGTAAAGGCCTCCGGGAGCTATAGCGCATAGCACGCACTTTATTGAAATAAAGCGCACATAAAGTGTATATATTTATATGTTTCTAATATAAACCAAAAATATCAATACAACTAAATATTTAAGCAAATTTATACTTAAACAACAAGTATAAATAACAAGCTAACATGTAAATATATATATCAAAATCAACCAAATGCTTAAATAACAAGTCTAATTATCTAAACACGTAAGCCTTGTCAAAAAAGTCTAAATAATTAAACACATAATCCTTGTCAAAAAAGTCATTAAATTTAATAAATCTAAAAACATTCCTTAACTCTATTCTTCATTAATAAAATCTTCATATCGAGGTTAAAAATTTTAATAGAGGGTAATGCTATTGCTGATTAAAAAAGAAAAAAAAAGAAAGAAAAGGAAAAAAAGAGAAAAAATTGGAAGAGAAATGTTGGTTCTGATGTTGCCAACAGGTGAGAAAATAAGAAAGAAAAAAGAAAAGAAAAAAAAAGAAGGAAGAGGAGCGCTGCTTGTCAACAATAGGGAACAGAAAAAAAAAGGAGAAAAAAACAGAAGAGGGGCTAGGCGAGACGAGATGCCATAGGGGAAAAAAAAACAGAGAGAAGGAGAAATGAAGCCCTAACCTACGATTGGGTTTGGGAGCCGACTAGCAGAGAGGGAGCTAGAGATGAGACGAGGACGGGACCATCAACCTCCAGCAGGCGACAAGTGAGGAGATGAGATGAACGAACCTGCTAGTGATAAGACGGGACGAACCTAGCCTCTACGATCGAGTGTTGACGAGGAGGGGAAGGGAGAAGAGAGCACCAGATGTTGGCAAGAAGGCTTGCGAGAGGCATGCGAGGGTTTTTGTTGGATTTCCTTTTTTTTTTTTAATATGCTGGGATGTTTACAGTAGCACATGCGATGGCGCTCGACGCTACTGCGCTATAGCGCACATAGCGTCCCACCGCGCGGTATTGTCCTGGCCAATGCGCATAGCGCAGCAACGCGCAAAGGTTGCGTGTCACTTCGCTATGCGCTATAGCACGCACATTGAGTGCTATTAACAACTATGCTCATTACGTATATAGACATGGAGTGTGCAGGTATATCTACGGACAAAAAGAGATGAGAACCCATACTAAAGCAACAAAGAAATAGACAGTTGTATAATCAGGGGTTCCAATGAACTAAATAGCAAAAGCAAAATATTCTAAACTATTCACATGAGCTTAGGTCTAAAGTAGATACCTTGGATGCAAGGAAAGAATCAAGGGAAGATGAAGGCATGTGATACAAGGGTAGTGTAAGCTAGTAATTTAAAGATGACTCACCTAATATTCAAATCTCCTCCTCTTTTTTTTCTTTTTTTTTTTTTTGAATTTTCCATAAATTGCAATTTATGTAAAAAATTAATTTTCTTATTCCTATGTCTTCGTAATCTGACATTGCACTTTCCTTCTACAGTCAACAAATAGACTTAACCATTGGTTCAATTTTTCCAACTATTTTTTTCCTGGTTATGCTAAATCATTGATTCTTCTATTACAAAATTCTATCTCTTTGTATGCAGAGAATGTGATAGAGAGACGCGCGCGGGCGGGGATTTTTCTTCATATTTAGAACATACTGAATTTAGCATATTAATTATAGTGGGTACAAATATAAATATGGAACTATAGAAACTTAATATATGCATTCTTACCAACATAATATGATATCCATTCAACATGAAATCTGAGAACCAACAGTTGGTCAATGTAAAAACTAGCAGTGTGGGTGGCATCAGGGTTTTAAGTGGTTTCACTGTCATCCAGTGGTGACAGTTGTACTGTAGTTTGACCTCACCATTTATTGAAAAGCATTATCAAGTGATTTGGCAATCATTGATGACAAGTCTTAAAATAGCAGCTTTAACGTTTTCCTTTCTTTTTTCTCCATCCCACGGGCACACACAAAGAACAAGCCTATACACTAGCAAAAAGTTCACACAATGGGACAACTTGGTAATTTTCAGCATGAGTCAAGTCCAAAAAATGACACCAGATAAATCTTTGCATCACTCGGATTCCTTATATAAATATTAATATGTATGCATTTGATTCAGACAGCAAAGAAGCAGGTCAAGTGAATTAAGAATCCAGTAACCAACCAACAAATTACATATAAAAAGATTCCAAAACAGGAATAACATCAATGGATACAAAAGAATACATTTAAAGCAACCATTCAATAATTTCCAAAATACAGAAGAGGATGAGTGGAGGAAACATTGCTAAAATCACAACCACTATCTGATGTCTTCTAAAGCACAAACATACTTAGCACATACATACTCAAAAATCAAAAAAATTGCAGCAAAAAGTCTTCCACAAGGACAAAGGAAAAGGTCCTCCACAAGGACAAAGCAATCACACATTGGACCACAACTTACATAACTGCAAGGCAGTTGGCAAAAACCACCATAGACAACTGGTTCTTCAAATAAAGTTTGAGTAGTATCAATGTCATAACAAGAGACTAATTAAGCAAGTCATCTTCTTGCTCAAATGACAAAAAGCATACTCATGAGTCCTGAAACCTATTTCAACCTTGGGAAAACACCAAACCTGATTCAACCACAGGAAAGACTCCAGCAGCTATAAACATCTTATCCCATTCCATTTGGGCAAGAGGTATAGCCACTCCTCACCACTCCTCAAAGTTAATGTCTTCAAGAGCATTGAGGTACAACATTTAAGAGCTTCTCAACTAAACATAGTAGTAGAGAATAAATCAAAAAGTCCAGCAATAACTTGGTCAAAAATGTTAGCTGACCACTTCAGAAGTTCTTCAGAATATACACGAACAGGATATAATTAGAGACGAGTATACAAATCAATCATAACTCAATACACATACTGTATCAAATAAGGACAGTGGCATCCTTGTTTTTTAATTTTGACCAAAAGATGTGCTCTGTCACTATACCAGCTGAATGACAGATATGCAACATTTTGAAGCTTCAAAGCATTAAAAGGCACAAAGAAAAAGAGTCACTCCAACAATTTAGCCTGGGGCAAATTGCCTTTATAGAGCTCAAAATGCAAGCCTAGGAGGCTAAATCCGAGTAGCACAAAATCAAGTGTAAACAAGTATAAACGTCTCCATGCCACGTTTTCATCTCAACAAAAGAAAATTGTAATTTTGAGCCAATTTTATCAAACCTGCCGCAGACAACACACTGAAGGGGCCCGTGCTTCCCATTCTCCAAGTAATTAATCCTCTGACGCTCATTCTCATGCACCAATTTCACAAAATTCAAAAAGCTTTTTTCAAGGCATCCTGATCAACATCATTATGCTTAAGACCCACACTGCTAGCACCAATACCACCTTGCCTACCATGCAAATCCTCATAAACCCCAGCAGCAGTTCTTATAATCTTGGATGTCCTCAACTCCTCACCTTTGCCTACATCCACCACATCCCGTGGATAGGGACTGCTAGTGCCGGCTAAAAACTCAACCCTTCCACCAGGACCCATGGGATATCCATTCGAATTCATACCTAAATTCCCATAATGCAAAAGCCGCTGCCTGTGTCTCGCAAATTCGTCCATCCCATCCCTCTCATCTCTCCTTCCCCTTTCACTCTCTTCCCCCAGCTTCCTCTTCAGTGAATTTTCTGGGGGCGGCAAGTGCCCACTTCCGCGGCCATCGAGTCCTAGCGAATTCCAATAGTCCTGGTTTCGCTCACGCATGTACGGATCTTGACGGTCCCGAAATTCGGGGCTCATGGGACCCAGCGGAGGGAACCGCTGGTCGAACCCCATCCCCCGACTAGCCAATTCCGGAGCAGGAGGCAGCATCGGACGCGGCGGCGGCGGAGCAAAATCCTGATAATCCGGCGGCAGCGCGAAGTACGATCTAACACTGCCATCGGCCAGAACTATTGTCCTCCGCTCCAGCATGTGGAAACCATATGCCGGCGGTGGCGGCGGTCCCAGGCCATCCAACAACTGGAATGGCGGCTCTCCGGGAGGCGCCGGACCGATCGGTTGTGTAGCTTGGATAGGGCTAGGGTTTGGAAGGGGTTTCGGGGAAGGATTTTCCTTGGGAGTTGAGGAGGATTTGGGCGGTGTAGGTTTGTTGGAGTCGCCTAAGCCGGCGGCGAAGGGCTTCTTTTCGGCCCCGGAGCCAGCGACAGAGGGTTTCTTGTCGGCGCCGGACTCCCAGCGGGACTTCCGGTGGGAAACAGAAGATGACGATGGCTTGTGAGAGGACGAACCCTTGGTATGGTTACCTCCAGCCATCCTCTTCGCTCGGGAACTAGGGTTTGTGAAAATGATGCTTCAATTGTGCATGCGATATGGAGGATGTTATATAGTCGCCGATCGATCCATGAGAGAGAGAATCAGATGCAAAGACGAGGGAGCGAAGCGGGCATCTCAGGAAGTGTAAGGAGAATGGGGACCCGGTTTTTTGGACATCTGTTTTAATTAAAAAAAATCAGAATAAAAGATTTTATAACTCGTTGGATTTAGCTTTAAAAAAAAAAAAAAAAAAAAAAAAGAGAAGTGTAAGTACGAAAATTTAAGCTACATCTTATATTATTAATTTGCCCACAATCAATTATATAAATTAATTATAATTAATTTAAATATAAATTAAATATTAAAAGTTAGTGGAAGATAATTGTAATTAATTTATATCATTAATTTTGACCAAATCAATAGTGTAAGATGTGATTTAAATTTTTTACACTTATACCTAATGTCAAATGTCAATTGATCCTTACTCCAAAAACATACTTGGTTTGATAAAATGAAGTCTCATTTGGTACCTTTTTTTTTAATTATTTCAATTTAAAAAATAACTAAAATTTTTCACTTTGTAAAAATTTTGACCAAAATTAAAATATCATTTTTATTTAAAAAATTTTACATATTCTTAAAAAATAAGACAGTTTTAATTTTTAATATTATATTTCACACAAGTATATAAAAGAGAACATTTACTACAAATTTTAAATTTATAAAACTTACCCTACTTGATCTTCTAGTGAGATTTTTTTCGAAAATTTTAATACAATGGTTGTTAAAGGGTATAGATATCTTTTAAAAATAAATTATATAACTCAATAATCAAATTTATGAGTAGACGATGAAAACTAGTTTTCAAATGAATTTTTAAGAAGTTAAAATATACTTTGGACAAAAGATATTATTTGGAAGACCAATTTTCCTCATTTGTCCATGAACTTCATTATTGAGTTACAAATTTTATCCCTAAAAGGGATCTACGCCCATCTAAAATCCCATGTCTTAAAATTTCTAATGAAACTCTTATTGGAATATTAATGTGTCATGACTTAAAAAAATGAAGCCGTGACAGGTGTAAGAGTTAGAATAAATTTTAACTCCGCAAGCCTAACATATAACTAAACAAGTATCTAAACCAAAATCTCATATACAATCATAAATAAAATCATGTCCAAAATCTCAACTAAACTATTAATATACTCACAAGATTTTGTTTGTAGTCAAATAAAACTATCTATAAAATCTAAAAATACAAATCTGATAGAACTGAAATAACTAATTTTTTCAACTAAGAACATAAATAACAGAAATAAAAAAACTCATTTCAAGCAGCAAAATCCAACTGAGTACCAAGCTCTAAATCTAGAAAAAAATAAAGGTGAGTCTACAGACTTAGTAAATAATAACATGCATTTATAAGAATAAAGGACATGTATAATATATAAGATCAAAACATTTTACCATTTAACAAATCTTTTACGTTTTTGAAAATTTCATCATATAACAAATTATTTACAGCTATCAGAAACCTTTTAGGTTAACAAATCATTTACAGACATCAAAAACTTTTCAGTATAAGAAATCATTATCATATATCAGAAATTAAAATCTTAGGGAGTTCATAATCTAGAACGTAATATATATCAAGAAACAGGACGGTAACACACAGTCAGTTGGTAAACAAGACAGCGACACATAGTCAACCGATAAATAAGATAGCGACACACAGTTAGCCAGTAATCAGGATGACAACAAATCAATCTACCAAGATAACTGAATGACAACATATCAGTCTGCCTAGATAATAGGATGGCAACATATCAGTATGCTCGGATAACAGAATGGTAACATATCAATCATGCTAATAAACAGAAATTAGAAAGTCTAACACCATCGCCCCTGCTAAATGGAAACCCGCACAGGATGCAAATTAGTCTAATGTATATTACCGTTAGCTGCAGTGTTCTAAAATGCGAAACTCCCTTAAAAACAATTTTTAGAAAAATATTAGAATACTTTAACAGAACTTTCCATTTTTCAAAATAAATAAAAACCATTTAACAGAATCTTCCATAATCAAACAGATACAATTTAACAAAATTTTGCATGTACAAAGTCAAACATAATTAATAGATATTTCGTTCCAAACAATTTCAGAAATTTCATATATGTCCCTTGTTTCACTTTTAAAACATATTTAATCAAATTTTCAGAAAAATCAGATATATTATATAAAATCAGATTTAATCATATTTTTAAAAACCAGATATATCATATCAAATTAGATTTTATAACAAATATGAAAAATTATAAATACTCATAAATACACATTATTACTCACTGAAATAACAAGAATCGATAAATAAAATATCTGGTAACACAAGTATCAACAAGTATTGTTCGAATAATCTAAAATCATAAAATAATATAATATCTCAATTTATGTCTCTAATATGTCCAATAATCTTATGAATGAAATTCTTTAATTAAAACCCTGATTAAAATTCTAGATTTCCGTGCCCGAACCCATACCAAGACTATTAAAATCCTGAACTGATCAAATAAGTCATGAACCAATCTTATAAAACATAAAAACTAGTCCATTTAATCTTAAAACTATCAGTAAATGTATTGAAATGATCATGAACTAGCCATTAGAGGGCCGAATCGACCACAAACTAATTATTAGAAAGTCGAACTATTTATGAACCGAACTTTAAATCATTGAACTGACCTTGAACTAGTCTGAGAATCATTGAACCGGCCTTTTATTCATTGACCGCCTAGTTTTATGCATTAATTCCTCTAAAATCACTTGAACCGGGAATAAAATAATAATATTTTACCTAAACTATTGTGCTTTGAACCAAACGAAAACCGGTTGGAATCCCTGTGAACCGGCCACCTTTTTATTTATTGCTATATTTTTGTTTTATTTAATTATTTCTTTTAATCTGGATCTAGCCCAACCTGTTGGCCCATCTCGCAAAATTAACCCTCAGTCTAAATTAGTCAGCCCAGTCTATGGGTCTGACCCAATTTAGCAAAATTAGTTGAACAAACCATGATCCATAAAAAAAATTTTAAAACCCATTCTCCCAGCCCAAACCCGAGTCTCCCCAAGTCAGTTCTTCATTACCCGATCAACCCCTGAATTGCAGGACTTGCATACCTGGATTTTTTGGATCAAATTAATCAATAATCTGAGTAGATCCTCGGAGATCAATGACCGAGCTAACGAGAACGTTCTCCGATGACTACCCTGTGCCTAATTCTAGGTGTTGATCTGGTCAGTAAAAAGAGAAATTAGACAACCTAATGGTCATCAGTTCGTGAGTATTCGAGAACAGACTTTGTTTCAATTAGATGAATTGATGCACAAATTTCTCAAATTGGTTTGGGATTTTGATTCCCTGAACATCAAACCATATATTTAGTCACTTAATTGGACAATAAATCCTATAAATCTTCCTAATTGAACAAAATTGATACCATGGATCTTCATATGAGATCTCAGATCCAGCTCTGAGATTTATTTTTTAATTGGGTCCCTATTTTCTTGATTTTGTTCAATTCAATTCTTGTCGCCCAAAATTTTTTATTCTAGTCCTTGATAGTTCCAATTAACTCTATTAAATCCTTCTAAGTTTATAAATTCAAATAATACCCCCAAAATTTTAGGGTATTACAGTTTTACCCCCATAAAAAAATCCAGTCCCTAAATTTAAAATATAAGAATAACATCTAGTCTTATCTCTTGAACAGATAAGTATACTTTGCACATCTCATTTTTCCTTGATTCATATGCCTCTTCTTTCCTTGAGTGATATAAAACTTTCACAAATGCTATTTCTCTAAATCTTAGCTTCATCCTTAAATCCCAAAAGCTTATATTTATTAATTACTCTAATTTCAATTCCTAGCAACGCAATTATAGATTCAAAATTCCATTCATGTTTGTTCTCGAATATTTCTACACATGATCTTACATTTCCAATCCAATACGGGGTTACTAGAGTCTCTATGCTTAGTATTAACTAGAATCCACACTAAACCCCAATTTCAAAAGCTAAGGTGGTTTCTTTGCACAAGTTTTGCTACCTATTACACACCTTGACTTGATCTAACACTCAATAAAATTTTTTTTTACCTTAAGAAAATATTTCAAAAATAAATCATTAGTTCCCAAAAAAATTTTGCTCTCAACTTGGTCTCCATTTCTCGTGGAGTTCAGATTTTCAATTAAGTCATAAGTCAACTCATCATTCCAAAGAAACGCAAGATGTAGAATCCAATATAGTGCTTATGTCTTGAATTCTTACTCTCTCTAAAACAATCACTTTCCTCCTAATTGGACTTGTATAAAACAATTCCTTGTTATGTCATACAAGTAAAATAATATTCTCTAATACCAAGGATCAAATTGGGGTCAAACATCAAATTGGATATATAAAATATCTAATAAACAGCATTATATTTCAACTTATATAAAGGATAGCACTATAATGTCATTTATAAGAATATGGTATCTCCAAACATGAGAATATAATTACGAATTTAATACTTGACGCAACCACTCCACACCTCTAGTTTATAAAAATGTACAAGTAGCCATATAAATTAAGTACTCAAAACTCGATAAGTGTGCAAAGCGCCTAATTATTATAACAACCATAATTCATTAGTCTTCAGAAAATAGAATACACCACAATTTGTAAGTTTAACAAAGAATCATTTCACATTGTCCTTAGTCTCTCCATTTCATTTCTTAAATTTTCACCTTACTCATAATATTGGCTAATCCCTTAGGAGTTATGCTAAAACAATCACCTAATAAAATCTCTGTAATCTCTTAAAATATTCAAAAATATCTCCAAATGCTAAGTAACTCTCACGTCCAAAACTATAAACTAAATAAAAATTAGAATAATGCATGCCAACTCTCAATATTTCCTTGGCGTACAGAATCACATTCTAAACAATTTCACTAA